AAGCTTCGGCTTTGGCAGGGGAGAATCCGGCGAACCAGCATCACCTAGATCACGTCGACGAGCTTGACGTCTTTATCCACCATACTCTGAATCCGCGTTTGCAGCGCTATCAGCTCGTCTGATGCTGACCAGTTGGGGCCTTTCTCCTTCCAGGAGGTGAGCCGCATTGGGGCTCCGGCCCTAAACTCGGGAGCCACCGCCCAAGTGGCGCCGCACGGCTCTCTGATGTAGAACCACTGCTTCTGCCACTCCTTGACTATCTCCATAAAAGTGCCTGTGGGCCAAGTGACGTTGGGCATCTTGCTCACCATGGCGCCCCCGCACTCCGCGTGCTGACCGTCCACCACCTTCGGCTTCACGTTGAAGGCCTTGAGCCATAGGCCAAAGTGGGGGTAGATACGGAGGAAGGCCTCGCACACGACAATAAATGTCGAGATGTTGGGGAAGGAGTTTGGGGCTAGAACATGGAAATCTAGCCCGTGATAGTACATTAGTCCGCGGACGAAGGGGTGAAGTGGAAACCCCAATCCGCGGACGAAGTGAGGGAGGAAAACTACCCTCTCAGTAGGCTTCGGGGTGGGGATGACCTGCCCCTTGGAGGGCAGACGGTGGGCGATTCCTTTCGCCAGGTACCTAGCCGCCCGAAGCCGGGTGATGTCCTTCTCCTTGATGGAGGAGACCATCCACTTGCCTTGGCCTCCGGATCCAGACATGGTTAAGTGCTTTCTTGAGAAGGGGGAGATGGGAACTTGGGTGTTGGAGCTCGAGAATGGAAGGACAGAGAGGAAGGGAAGGCGTGGGTAAAGAAAGTGGATTCTTAACTCCTTATAAAGGCAGTGAATATTGAACGCCTCCCCACTCGCCTTAAAACTTGCCTATTCCCAAGGGCTGTATGAAAGACACGGTTGGGTTACCCACACCCGTATTGATGAGAATCCCACAATAAGGGGACACGATCTCTGCTTTGACAAGACGTGCCAATGACAACCGCGTCTCGAGACATGGAGCGGCAGACGAAAAACCGTTCGAAATTATGACCGGGCGGACATGATGTCATGTTGTAAAAAGTTGTCAACGGATTGGACTCGTGAATTATTATATTCTCTGCGGTTGTGTGTGGTGTGTGTGTTACAGGTCCGGACACAACCATTACGTCTGAAGACCGTCTTAGAGTTCAGAAGGAGGAACCCGCCTTAATGTCGAAGACAGATCTACGTGCCGGATACCTTGTCATTGAAGCCAGGTTCAGGGGCTACTGAGGGAGTCCTGGACTAAGGGGTCCTCGGGCGTCCGGCCTGTTAGCCATGTGTCGGATTGATGGGTTGTGAAGATACGAAGACCGAAGACTGCACCCGTGTTCGGATGGGACTCTCCTTGACGTGGAAGGAAAGCTTGGCCATCAAATAAGTAGATTCCTTTCTTTGTAACCGACTTTGTGTAACCCTAGATCCTCCGGGTGTCTATATAAACCGGAGGAAGAAGAATCATTACCATAGTCATACAGGCTAGGCCTTTAGGGTTTAGCCATCGCGATCTCGTGGTAGATCAACTCTTGTAATACTCATATTCATCAAGATCAACCAAGCAGGAAGTAGGGTATTACCTCCATAGAGAGGGCCCGGACCTGGGTAAACATCGTGTCCCCTGTCTCCTGTTCCCATCGACCTTAGACGCACAGTTCGGGACCCCCTACCCGAGATCTGCCGGTTTTGACACCGACAATCGGCGGGCCACCCAACCAACTTTTATGCCGGAGAACTGCTCTTCTTGCTCGTCGGATGCCATCGAAAGAGTGGAGCAAATGGTGGAAGGAGGAGATGGGGGAGCGGCTGAGTGGTGCGATTCTTGCCCGGCGTCCGGCCTCGTTTAAATAGTGGGCGGGCGGGAGGAGCTTGCCCGGCGTTGTGTTTAATGCTGGCCCACTCATGAACAGACGAGTGGACGGAGTTGGTTTGTCGGCTTCCATGCGGGTGTAATGGAGGCATTTGAATGCGGCGAGGAGGCATGTCAGCCGAGCGTGCAGCGGGCGGCGTCCCCGACCGGCGCGCCACTTCAATGGCGAAGGCAGTGAGAGGCCGCGTCCATCCTAAGCCGCCTTCAATGTGGAGCAGCGCGCTCTACACCGACATGAATGCGGGCAGCTGGCGACGGGCAGAAAGTGCACGCGGGAGGGGTGAGGGGTTTTTGGTGGGCCAGGGCGGTTAGAAGCGCGCGTGACAGCGGTCCGAACTCCCTCAAATCTCCCCACGTTTGTCTTCGGTTTGTTGGGGAAAACGCATTCGGACCGCGCTGCAGATCGAGACAGGACCGAGTTGGATGGCTACCGCAGTCCGAACGGCATGATCCGGACTGATGCGGGGGGTTTGCGAGTCGGCATTGGAGATGCCCTAAATCTTGTACTCGTTCCGTTTGGAAATACTTGTCGGAGGAATGGGTGTATCTAGATGACAACGGCGCGCCTTTAGCTCGTTTTAGTTCTTATAATTATCGCTAGGTGGTCTACGGGTCGGGACGTAAGTCCCATGGAGATATCCTTCTTACTTGGCCACTACCAGCAGCGGTGCATGTGCATCCCAGTGCGACGCCTAAGAGCATCTCTAGTGGCTTGTGCAAATGGTGGTCTATACCAAATTTAGACTATCACATGCCAAAAAAAGTCTTCATTGGCTTGTCTATTGCGTCATCTAAAATTTAGACAATGTCCAAACTAGCTACCCGTCGTCCACATTTGGACAACCAAGCCACAATGTCTAAACCAAAAATGTTGGCTCATGAGCTTAGCCATTCACCAATTCGGAGCAATTGGAGGACGTCGGCAGGGAGGCGGCCGCGCCCGCGCTGGACACGGAGGTCGTTGCGCCTGGACCGTCGCCTCATCAGGGTTGAACCTGTTGCTATTGTTTATTTCTCGTAAATTATATAGGGTGTTGCTAGTGTTGAACCTAAAATAATTTCGCAGCTGTTTTATTTTCTCCTTTATATGTCTTGCGGATAAAAAAATAAATGAGAACAACTCAGAAATGACCAACATAAGATTTTTAGAAAATATAGCTGCTATAAGATACTATTAGAATATATGAAAGAGAATATAGACATCATGTATATAGACAATCCGCTGGAAAACTTAGGTTGTCTAAAAGAAAAAAAATTACACTATTGTGTATATGTAGATATAGACTATCAAATTTAGACAAGCCACTAGGGATGCTCTAATCGTACCAAGAAGGGTCGTATACACACTGGTCTCGCCGTGGAAGGGGCAGTGATGATGCACCATACTCCATCGTGTTTCCCGTGCCATCAGTCCACACAAACCAGCGAACGTACGTACGTAGACGCACCCCATCAATCAATCCGGCGGAGTCCAAAGTCCGATCTCTGTGCCCGTCCGCCATGATATCTGTGGGCGAAACATGGACGCCTCGTACCACAGTACTCCGCTTGCCTCCTCCCCAAAGTCGCGCGATATTAAACGTCCGTGATCGTGACCCGCCTCCTGTCTTAGTGCTAATTAGGCCTCCAGCTCAGTGGCGTGAAATTTTCTCTACGGCCAACATTAAATCATTAATGGCACTGCAGTGTGGACTGCGGTTGTTATGGCGCCATTGTGAGAGCTCAACACGCTACTGTATCCACTAAAGAGACTGCACAAGCACTGGTTGTTGGCCATGGTACCTCCTGGTTTGAATTCTTCTTACCTCTCTTTAACCATGCAGGCATGGATCTTCTTCTTAGTGATTAGTCACGTCCTAGCCGTGGTCATGTTTTGTTTTTCAGTTTTGCTAAATGAGGAGTGACATACGTGTGGCACGAAACACTCTGCCTTGATGTTTTTTACAACTAAAGTTGTCATTCAAAGAAAAAAATCCAAAAAAAATTTGAACTTGCCATCTGAATACGTGCTTGATAACTGAAGTTATCATCCTGGTGTCACTAAACTTATCATAACAAACGATCGAAGTTGCCATGTGTTCGTGCCACGCGTGTGGCACTTATCAGGGTCCTTTAATTTGTTTTTGATTCTCATGAAGATTGAACTCGTTTATACGAAAATCCTGCAAAATTCGTGAGTTCAAAATCAACCATTAAAGATTCTATAGCTAAATGGATTTTAGAATACACAAGCATAAGGAGACACTGGAAAAACCTCTACGGATCAAGGAGCCTGGCTACAGCAACAACTCGCCACGGCCACTAACTAACTACTGTAATTACCAGTCACATGCACATGCACCATGGCCTACCGAGGAAAACCTCTCGTCCTGGCTTCGGCAGCTCTCCCGCCGTCCCACGTATATATACACCTCCCTCCTCTCTCTCCTCTCGCATCTGCAAGCTTCCAAATCCTCTCACATCACCGCATTCCCACATTCCCCCAGGTCTCCTGCCTGCTTGCGGATCTCCTCCTCTCCGATCCGATCGTCGCCATGCTGTCTTCTCACTGCGAGAGCATGCTGGCCTACGCCGCCGCCGCCGGACGGCGCGCGATGCTGGTCGACCCCCGGCGCTACCGGCCCAACGTGGAGGTGGCGCCCAACTGCCCGCGCTGCGACTCGCCCAACACCAAGTTCTGCTACTACAACAACTACAGCCTCAGCCAGCCGCGCTACTTCTGCAAGGGCTGCCGCCGCTACTGGACCAAGGGCGGGTCCCTCCGCAACGTGCCCGTCGGCGGCGGCTGCCGCAAGAACCGGCGGGGCAAGCCTGTGCGGTCCATGGCCGAGGCCGACACGGCCTCGCCGAGCCACGGCGCGGCAGTGTTCTCTCACCGCTTCCACGGCCCGGTCCGACCCGACCTGCTCCTGGAAGGCATGGTTGGCAACCCGGCCGAGCTCGCCCAGCCGGAGCCGGGCGAGGCTGAGAAGCCCGCCGGAGCCGCCGACGGCCCGACGATCGATCTGGCACTGCTCTACTCCAAGTTCTTGAGCCAACAGCCTCTCGCCGAGCAGGGCGCCGTCGTGCCGGAATCGGCCGGCCCCTCGAGTGGGTCAAGCACGGAGATGAGCCCGCCGGCCCTATCCAGCCCAGGCCAACACGGGTTGGGCGAAATCTGCGGGCCGGCGAGCAGCACGGAGCCCAGCGCGACGACGATGCTCCAGTGCGCCGACGCGCGCGCGCACGCGCTTGGCGAGTTCAACTTCAGCGTGGACCAGAGCTGCTACGACTCGCTCGGGCTGCCAACGGACGGCGCCGATCTGACGATGCTCCCGCCGGCGTGGGACCAGGAGGCCAAGTACGAGCCGTTCAGTTCGCTTCCCGATCAGGAGGACGCCATGAGCCTCCACGACGCCGTCCCCGCCGGCGACGACGTGTGGAGCAAGGTGCTGGGCTGCCAAGGGCTGGAAGCCGCTCTCTCCGCAGGCCTCGATCGATGCTAAGCTCATTTTCAAGCTCGTTGATCCGTGGCCGCCGCTGTCCTCGTGATTGATTTCATGTCTTTTCTTTTCCTCTCCCTATTTTTACCCTTGTCCAAAAGTAACTTATATATATATATGGGGATCGTGTTCATGGTCAAGGAGTGTATACATGCGGGATAAAAATGGATTTGTACTGTAATAACATCGATATATCTGTATTATTGGCAATATACTTACTATTAACAGCTGGGTTTTTCCTGTTCTGAGCTACACGTTCACTTCTTCCTAGTACGACCAATCAATGTTGTTCCTGTTATACACATGCACTGCCTGACCTGGGCGTGGACGGATGGGCATGCACACACATGCCGATGCCGATGCCGATGGTGCCATGCTGGTGAATGAATGAGTGAATGGTGCACTGGGATTCCAACGACATGCCCTGTGGAGTGGCGTGGACGTGGCCAACAATCTGAAGCAGCTGCCACTAGTCGCTCGAAAGGCGACATTTGGCCCTAGCTCGTTATAGAGGGATTTACCATGCCTGCACGCCTCAATTATTGTTGCTACAACAGGACAGGCAGCTCCTAGATCCAGCCCGTGGATAGACGGTGGGAGGGCGCTCTATGGATCCATCATTGCCGGCTCGAGCGAGCGTTCACTGCCATCGTCTTCAACATTTTTTTTTTGCGGGGTAAAGAGAGTTTTTATTGCAATGTAATAGTGTTACAATCAAGAGGCCACAACTCCTCAATACAAGGTGGAGCATCTTCAACAAAATTAGCAGCGTAGCATGACTATGGTTATTTTCAAGAACAAGGAACAAAAAAAAAGTACTCCCTTCGACGTCCACTTTAGTACAACTTTGTATAATATGGATCAGGGGAGTAACGACTTGCAACGGAAGGGGAATCGGAGAACCAGCTGCGCCCTGACCATACGCCTTCCGTATAATTCCGCAACAAAATTGTGCAAGTGATAAAGAAACGACACTGTGGAGTGATGCACTGGTGCTCCGGCCGGCCCCTTGCAGTTGTAGATGTACTAGGAAGCAGTTGCAGATGTACTAGGAAGTGAAACGAAGTGAAAGGTAGAATTCAAAGTTGAGTAAGCTTGCGCACCAGCTAGCTATACATGGGCTTCGATCCGATTAAGAAGATTTCTTTTTTTGAAACTGCCAAGCTTTATTAATCGAAGTTCACATAGTATGGGATACAAATGAGATCGTGGGGTTGGCCTAGCCAGACATGACGGCCCTGATCAAGAGAGAGAAAACTGGGCTAAACTATGCCCTTCAACATTCCCCACAAAAAAAACTATGCCCTTAAACATTAGAAGCTCGCCCTTCAAAACAGAAGCTGCAGTCGAACTCGATGCCCTCAAGTTAATTTTGTTGATGATCATGCTATACCGTCCAGAATCGCCACTAGTAATATTGCTGACCACCAGCTTTCAATCAAATTTGATGCAATCACAATATTCCGCAGGGAAAGGTCATCCGCTAAACACAAGGCCTCTCGACATGCAATGGCTTCGAGTGTGGCCACGTCCAGAACACCGTGCACAATAAGTGCGGACGATCCAAGGTAATTTCCAGCATCGTCACGACAAACTGCAGCCACAGAGCCCACAATCCCTGACCTAGCAACGCCGGCATTAACATGAATTTTTGCATATCCAGTGGGAGAAGCCTTCCCTCGCCGAGAAGCAACCCTACTGGTTGGTGCTGACCCATGCCTCGAAGGGATTTGTTTGCCAACTTCCCCAGGTTCAGAGATGATAGTTTATCTACATTTCAGTTAGCTGATTTTTCGAGTCTGGGTCAATCAATTTTCGAATGATGGAAGGAGAAGGAAGGCCTCGCCGGAGAGAATGAATGGGTCACCGTCATCACCCCATTGTCTACCTCGAAGGAAATATGCCCTAGAGGCAATAATAAAGTTGTTATTTATATTTCCTTATATCATGATAAATGTTTATTATTCATGTTAGAATTGTATTAACCGGAAACTTAGTACATGTGTGAATACATAAACAAACAGAGTGTCATTAGTATGCCTCTACTTCACTAGCTCGTTGAATCAAAGATGGTTAAGTTTCCTATCCATAGACATGAGTTGTCATTTGATTAACGGGATCACATCATTAGAGAATGATGTGATTGACTTGACCCATTCCATTAGCTTAGCATGATGATCGTTTAGTTTGTTGCTATTGCTTTCTCCATAACTTATACATGTTCCTATGACTATGAGATCAGGCAACTCCCGAATACCGGAGGAACACTTTCTGTGCTACCAAACATCACAACGTAACTGGGTGATTATAAAGGTGCTCTACAGGTGTCTCCGATGGTGTTTGTTGAGTTGGCATAGATCGAGATTAGGATTTGTCACTCCGATTGTCGGAGAGGTATCTCTGGGCCCTCTCGGTAATGTACATCAATATAAGCCTTGCAAGCAATGTGACTAATGAGTTAGTTGCGGGATGATGCATTACGGAACGAGTAAAGAGACTTTCCAGTAACGATGTTGAACTAAGTATTGAGATACCGACGATCAAATCTCGGACAAGTAACAGACCGATGACAAAGGGAACAATGTATATCGTTATGCGGTCTAACCGATAAAGATCTTCATAGAATATGTGGGATCCAATATGAACATCCAGGTTCCGCTATTGGTTATTCACCGGAGACGTGTCTCGGTCATGTCTACATTGTTCTCGAACCCGTAGGGTCCGCACGCTTAACGTTCGGTCACGATCGGTATTATGAGTTTATGTGTTTTGATGTACCGAAGGTAGTTCGGAGTCCCGGATGTGATCACGGACATGACGAGGAGTCTCAAAATGGTTGAGACATAAAGATTGATATATTGGATGACTATATTCGGACACCGGATGAGTTCCCGGGGTCACCGGATAATTATCGGAGTGCCGGGGGGTTATCGGAACCCCCGGGGGGAACTAATGGGCCAACATGGGCCTTGTGAGAGAGATA